GTTGACGCCGATCCGCGCATCACAACAATAAAGCTACTATAATCATAACAAAGTTCAAACAGCTGTTGATGTCAAATTATTAGTCTGTAATATCAACCAGGGCATTCAATACTGCTGTATTTCATGTTGTGATAATAGTGCCCAGTATATGAGATAAATGTTACTGTGTAATTTCTTACAGGGTCTGATGATAAAACGCTCACCTCATCAGGCTGAGGGCTGAAATGATCTCCTGTTTACAGGCAAAAGACGCACCGCCAAATTTTTTACTGGATTTTTATGTAGTGCATGATAGGAGGGCTACTCTGTGACTGCTTTAAACAGATGCTATAATGTTTATTGCGACCTTGAGATGTTTCTACATGTCATACTTTTGACAGACATGTTCCTGGATTGTGAAGATATGATCTGTAGCCTTTATGTATTAGTGCCAACAGCTGGTCTGCTCATCAGACAGAAAGCAGAGCTCAAACAGTGGACAAATGATGCAGCTGTGCAACATGTCAAATTTAGACGATGCTTTAAAATGACGGCTCCGGAGTTGGGACATGTCATTTCATTAAATGCCTGTCTTCTCGACTCCTCGTGTCTCCTTCTGACCTCCTCGAGCTCACATCTCGGGTCGGAGGGACTAAGACACGATGCGAGGAGTTGAGGATCGAGGAGACAAGGAGGCGATGAGGGACAAACTTGGGAAATGAGAAAGGCCCGTTGTCTCTGTCAAATCTCTTTCCTCTGACTGTGTTCCCTTCCTTTCTTGTGTCCAGTGATCCCATGTTCTTCTGTCCTGACTATAATTTCTGTACCAGCTGTCTGCACTGCCTTTCCAAGTCTACAATGTGACAACAACAAGAATAGTGTCAAAACAAATTACCACGCACTGCATGAAAAAGGACAAGTTCAGTATTTAAACTTCAGTGTTTGTGCGAAGAGGTTATTGTGGCTTTGTTCAAAACAGATTTGTTTTACCAACCTATCTGCATAGTTTCTATGGTAAAGACGAAGGCGTCGGTAACTATGTACGCTGGTGAGGCGGCTTTCCAACACTGAAATACGAGAAATGGTGGTAATTAACTCAGCGACGGAGTTCTGCAACCCGACTTGACAGGCGCAGCAGATATCTGCTCAGCTGCACTTCCGTGTGATGCAGAGGACACTCTGATTTGACTAGCTAGAGCATCCAGAGATACATCTGTAGAAATCTTGGAATCACCTTTTCAAACCACCTCCAAATGTGGTTTTGATCCAAAATTTGCATTTCTTGTAGGTTTTTTTGTTGTTCAGACTTTCTGAAATCACTCTGGATACCATCTGAAAATTCCAAAAAAAAAAAGGATTTGAGCTGGCAGTCTGAACAAGGCCTAAGTTGTTGTTTGAGGGACACGCTAGGATTTTAAAGGTTAATGCATGGCAGAAATAGAACATGAGTGGGTTTGATAATCACAGGCAAACAATAGGCCGGTGATACACCATGTCAGCAAGATGCAAGTGTGTGTGTGTGTGTGTGTGTGTGTGTGTGTGTGTTTATTTTACTATATTCGAGGGGGCCAAAAACCAGGATTCCACTATAGTTGTAGCGTCTGACATCTTTATAAGGAACAAAAAGCTGAGGAACAAAATACTGGACCCCACAAGTTTAAAGGGCTCATTGAGAGTTAAGACTTGGTTTTAGGCTTAGGGTTACGATTGGGTTAAGGTTAGGCATGTAGTTGGGATGGTTTAGGGTAGGGTAAAGGGCAAGGGAATGCATTATGCCAATGAGATGTCCGCACAGGGATAGAGGAACACACGTGTGTGTGTGTGTGTGTGTGTACTAACATTTGCGTCGGTGTGGGTTCCCATCGGTGGGAGCACATCCACCTAAGGAGTTCCAAAATCGGAGTGGGGCCCAAAATGGTGGGCCCCACTCCGATTATCGTTATATTTTCGCGCAATTCCTATGTGTTCTAAATTGACACCGCGCCTACATTCACAGAACACGCAGCTGGGTATTTTCCTGTCGGGGACACAAGGTGTCGTCAGCTAACATGAATGAAACACCCTACTGCGCGATCTAGGCTACCTGTGTTTTGTGCATAGTGTAAACAAACAACAGAAGAAGAGTATTGTCGTGACCGTTTACTCTGCGACCAACCATTTTAAATTATGCCAAGCAAAGCTCGCTGGCATACCACCACTCGGGGGCTGTTTACACTTCACTTCATATGTTTTCTGTGATCGGACAAGTGTATGTGCATCTGGTTGTTGAAACCACATATGTAAATGTTACTCCTCCCAAAAATGCACAAAAATAAACGTGTGAGAGCGTGTTATTATAGGCTATACGTCATGTTATAGCTAGATATGACGACGCTACTGCAACACGGCGCAGCTGAGCATCTATTCATCAAGCCAACTTGCAAACTATCGCAAATCAAAGTGAAAGTAAGTCGCAGATGCTTAACACACAATCATCTTCATTAAAAGTAAAGAAACGAGATGATCTTACCAGCGCTGTTGCCACTCTCTCTTTGATGTTGACATTTTAGCTGACGATCAATAAAATGCAGCACATATCTTAACTCCATTAAATCAGTATATAGTGCGGGAGTTGAAAATCGGATTTATATCCGACACATTTATGTGACCAAGTGTAAATGGAGCAATGTACAGCCCCGTACAACAACGATGCGTATAGCCACCTGAGATTCAAAGCTCCCGGCAGCAGCTTCATCCTCCCACCAGTCATGGCTAGTTCGTTGGGTAGACTTGGCTAAGTTGCATGCTAGGCATCTGGCAATATAATTTCCTCGCCTGACAAAGTTAGTAATCTTCTGCTTGAGTGTCCCAGCTGTGCTCATTAGCAATTAGCCTCTGCGTTGTGGGCGGAGCCAGCGCTGCGGTAAATTATGAAAGCTAATACCAATATCTCTCTTCTTAGCACTGCAACCCACTACAGCACACAGGTGTTGATCCGCCATTGTCTTCTCTACTCCTCAGAACCTGAGAGGAGTGGGGCAGGAGCTTGTGGCCCCCCAGAGTTATTACATCACAACTCCAGTCTGTTTTAGGCTGCCTTTTAGTGACTGCCATTGGTTCACAGCCATTTGAATGCAGAAATACTCAAAAATGCAATTTTGAGCTTAATTTTCTAAAGATATGTCCTCTAGCTTTAGAAAAATGCCACAAGAACATGTTAACAACACGAAAAACATGATTATCATCGGAGTGGGTCTTTAAAGCTCATTTGCACAATACATTATTTAACTAGTCTCTCTATTTGTTGATATACGTTTGTTATTTGCTTTTCTGTGTCCTATATTATTTTGTAAATCAGGAATACTTTCCGTTTTTTATATTGCTATTTAATATTTAGTTTCATGCCTTGCTGCGGCTACAATGTATTTTTCCAGTTGTGGATCAGTATAGTACCGTCTGTCTATGTCAAAAGTCTGAGTTGCATGATGTTCTTACGCTTCACTGGTGTTACCTGCACTAAATGGTACACGGCACTCTCAGTTTAAAGGAGTCATAACTTAGTATTACCTTGGATACCCACGCTCTATTATAGCCTTTCAGGCCCTTCTAAAAAAGAAAAGTGGAGAGCTCCCTGACCCTTATTTCTGAAGGTATTATTGTCTCGCGAGATCTGATGTGATATTTTGGCTGTCATGGATGGTCATTTTAATAATGCAAAGGGGCGCGTTGATTGGTGGCAGGAAGGAGGGGGGTTGACACCGCACGTAACTTCAGCATATCATTCCAAAATGACATCATGGCGCAAGTTGTAAATGCACCCGACCTGGCTGCGACCTACGGAATTCAACCGTACATGCACGAGCCAGACTCTGAATCTGAGCTGGAAAGGGAAGATGTAGAGTCGATGGAAGGACGTCTACATCAAGATGTCTCTGAATGGTAAAAACAATCATTTTGACTGAGACATTCATTATACCTTTTATTTAATGTAGATTACATTAACGGAGATGTAGTCTACTTTTTTTTATCAGCTTACAGTTGTTATTGAGATCAATCATGTGGTGTTTTCGCCTTGTTTCACGTTGTGGTTTTTTAGACATTCAAATTTGTGAACGATTCCGGTGTAAAATGATTAGCACAGACACCTAACGTTAAGCCAGTGGGAAGGGTTGTAGGAACCGCGTCATTAAAAATGAATTTAATCCACTGGTCCCTGACAGCTTGGTCCGTTCTTGGGAGAAAAACACATTTAAGTTACATGTTGATTCTGGCAGTCAACAACAGAGCAACTCACGTGTGCACTACGTTTCTGCATCTTTCGCGACTGAATATGAGGGGGAGAGGGGCAGGGCGGGCTTCCTGCAGCATAGGTCTGCGGTGTCCATATATGGTATTTCCTGCCCCGTCTTGACGTCAAGTCGGGGCAGAAATTAAAATCTCGTATTTGAGTGCGCATGCACGTGGGCTGGTTGACGAACCCAGGGGTAAACAAACGCTTCACTTTTAAATATCGGCTTCCCGGCCAGTGTATAATCGTTAGGCAATCATAACATACAATAGCCGTGTTTCCACTGTCGGGCCAGAGCCGGGCCGTGCTAGTTCACCCCTAGCGTGTTTTAGTGAAGCGCTGTGGAGCTTCTGGCCAGACAGTGGAAACGCAACAGCTGGTTTTGAGCCCGGTGCTCCTGGCCCGAGGCCATTAGCCCGGCTCGGCCCAGTTTAAAGCCCTGGCTCGCACTGGCCCGACAGTGGAAACGCGGCTATTGATTCTCGTGGAAAAGTGAAAATTAGACAGCATAGACAGGACCTCAATGATGCATTGATGTGGATGGGTCTGCATCAAAAACATTTTTTGGCCACAAAGTCTGATCAAAAAAGCACTTTACCTGTAGAGTGTGTATCACAACTGGGAGAGTGCTGAGCATTGTCTGCAGGTAATACACTGACTAGACGCAAGAACATCAACCTCACTTTGAAAATACTGTAGTATCTGTTTTTGAGTCCCAGAATGAAATGTTTAATTATTATATTATTGTAGGAAGAGGAGTGTTTGCCACACAACCCATTGAACCCGGGGACTTCGTGTTGGAGTACAGGGGTAAACTCCTCACACAGGAGGAATGCAAGTCAAGAAAATACTCAGAGATTGAAAGCACATTTCTCTTTGACTTTCAGTGGCAGAATCATCACTTATGGTAAACATTGAAAGATGGATGTTTTGTATTGATTTAGCGAAATTACGAGTTAACCCTGAAACAAGGGTTTAATACTTGATGAATGAGTTAAGCAAAAATACTCTTAAATTCTTTTGAAAAAACTCTTTCAATAAAACTTTTAAAAAGATGTAAAACTATTACCATTTTTTTGATACTTTTCAGCCTGGATGCATCTGAAGAAGATTTATCTCTCGGAAGATTGGTCAATGACAACCACCAAAATCCAAATTGCGTTATGAAAAAAATCATAGTTGACAACAAACCACATTTGTGCCTTTTTTCTCTGAAGAAAATAGAAATAGGAGATGAAATTGATTACAACTATGGTGATTCAAAATGGCCTTGGCGCTGTAAGGTGAGTTGGTTAGATTAAGTATAGAGATTTCTTTTTTTAAATTTTTTTGTTGCAAAAGAAAATTTTGTATTTCTCCAAAATTAACCATGTTTCCAATATTACTCTTGACTGTCTATGGAAATGCATTTAATCTTTGATCTGTGATGTGTTTAAAATGAGTTCTTCTTTATCTGCAATCCAGTTGAAAAAAAACCAAGCTCCAGCCGCAGCAGAAGAGAATGAGACCAGCCCTGTTCCTCAGATGCTGAATGATAGACCTAACCCAGATCAGACCTGCACACAGGTAAAAGTACATTCAAACACATTCATCTATGCTGACATGTATCCATGACCCTATCCTAACCCTATCCATGATCCACTGCAAACTCTTGGAATAGACGTGAGCTGCTTTTTAGTCCATGCTCTCAGTTAAAGTTCAGTGCTGTTTCACCATTAGATGACCTTATTAGCCTGTGAATGTCTTTCATACAGTTCTGAGTCTCTTCTTGTCTGTCTATTTCAGGTGAAAGGCCTTCAGACTCCTGCTGCAGCAGAAGAGAATGAGACCAGCCCTGTTCCTCAGATGCTTAATGATAGACCTAACCCAGATCAGACCTGCACACAGGTAAAAGTACATTCAAACACATTCATCTATGCTGACATGTATGTGGTGGTGTTCTATTACTAAAGTGGACCAATGCTTATGTGGCTTTATATTGGCTGTTAAAGGCCAGGTAATGTCACACACACCGGCATGTTTCCAGTCATGTTCTTATGGGGTCTTCCATATCTCCAAATACATTTGTTTCTCAAGTCCCTCCTTTACACACTCGTATGTCTGTAGTCTGACCCATGTGGGGCCCTTCCGTCCAGTTCTTACGGTAATTGTTTTTAATGCACTGTGGCAACACCTGACATGACCTCAACTGTGATTTTAACATTCGTAATTGTATACTGTGTCTGAGCTGTTAGATGTTTTAAAGCAATATTTTTGATTTGAATTTGATGTTAAATATTTTGATTTGATGCACTGAAAACCCCTGTAATGGTCAATTGGACCATGGACCAATGCTCACGGGGCTTTAAAGTAGTCAGGTGACCTTTATTGGGTTGTAAAGGCCAGGTAATGTACACACACTGGCATCTTTCCAGTCCCATTCTTGTGGGGCACCTTTTAATGCATTATGGTAACATCTGGGGAGGAAAAAGAAGAAAATCTGCATACTGGGTTAAAGCTCACAGTTACCTTTTTTATTGACTAAAAAACAAAGGTTTCGATCCAAATGGTCTTCCTCAGGCAACTATGATAGTATTGTAATACTATAGTATAGCTGTACTCTGATTTTAACATTTATAATTGTACACTGTCTAAAAGGGCTGATGTTCACATTTCTGGATTTAGATTTTTAGTCAGACCATGCCATGTTTCTTTGGCCAACCTTTCTAATTCCATACTTAATGAATTTTTGTTTATTTTTAGGTATTTACTGTCCAAGGATTTTCACTGGTTGATTATCCAGATAGTGATGAAACTGATGAGGATGGTATGGAAAATGAACCTCCCACCCCACACCTGGATGTTATTATAGGGCAGAATGATATTGCCCAGATTTTTCAGATCATTTGTACGATTCAGATGAAACTGTTGTGAAAGAAACTTGTGATGAGGCTTCTCCAAGCAACCATTCCAACAATCAATCGGATGATGAACTTGTTCCACCACTGAGACGCACAAAAAGCATTCTGGTAAGCCCCAAAACACATTTTAACAATATAATTAACTTGTTCATGTGATAAATTTTTTGCCACTAGTAAGCGAATTTGAATTTTATATTGAATGGGAATCATTTACTTTGAACCTGAATCGATTGTTTTGAACAATTGCTTTTAAAATCTGAATTTAAATGGATTCATTTGAAATTGAATCTATTGGATTGGCATAAACACCTGCAGGAGTGATGTCCAGTGATCAGCGCTCAGGTGTGTGCTTAAAAAAAAAAAAAAAAGATACAACGTGCCCAGTGATGTAGGCTACTGGTCAGCCAGCATACCGGGACAAACCCCGGTAGGGCCGGTCTCTGTTGCCAAAATCCGGTCGAGTCCTCGTCCGCCTGTGCATTAATTATCAATTAAATAGAGATCACCAACAATCAATCAGTAATCATCTCTAACCCTAACCCAACCCTCTCTCTCTTTTCTGACTGATTAAATTATGACTAATCTCATATATAACATATTGCTACCCTGTCTACTGTTCTGAACCTCAAAACCACTGAGCTCGACCAGTTGGCAGACTTCCTTGGTCATAATATCGCTGTTCACAGGAAACACTACAGGCTCCCAGAAAGCACCCTCCAATTAGCCAAAGTAAGTAAAGTCCTGGCAATGGAACAAGGACGCCTAGGAGATTACAAAGGAAAGAGCCTCGATGAAATACAAGTCGATGTGAATGGTAATTAACTTTATATTCTTGAAGGCCAATATATGACATTTAGTCTTCCGCATTCAGAAAACAACTATTTACCATGTAAAACATAGGGCAGTAATGGTGACGGGATGAGAGATAATGCTACTGTTGTATACTCTTGCAGATTGCCCATAGTTTCAGCTTTCCAAACTCAATTTTTATCAATTATCATTTTAGAGACCATTGACATGGAGGGACCTTTAGCAGAGGACATTGAAGGTATGTGTATACGATGTTCCTAAATTGATTTTTAAATGATCCGTTTTAGATATTTGTGTATTGTATTAAGTTATTTCCCTCTCCAGATGTCAGTATGCTAAGAGATGATGGGTCAGCGATGAGGTCAGCATGTCATCCACGCAAGAATGTCCTCCACATCACAAAGTCAAAACCAGGGAGTGTCTGCAACCGGTGAGCTTGAACGCAATTCTTACCTTTCGTGCATTTCACACAGCACGTGGCAAAAATTTCAACATCAACAACTCCTCCCTTCTGTCCCACCCACCTCTTTCTCCTGCAACTCTGTCAGGAGACCTGTATGATGCAGAGGCTGCACAATCAGTCAAACACAACCCCAGTTTTTAAAACTGAACACTGCGTCAGTACTGCCTGAAATTACAAGTAGCATTAACTTTGAGGTTAGCGGGAACCCACCTATTGCTTATAGGTTGCTCTAATCTCTCGGCACAGACTTCATACAGGGATAGCACAGCTACTCCAACACGTCCCTGTCACTACAGAACATCTGGAATGTGCGCGATAAGGTGATGCAGGACAATTCCCTGAGCACATTATCCAAGTCTGCTTCATGGCAGCAAACAGACTCCACGGTTGATCGCAGTGACCGCACTTGCACTGCAAAGGGTTGCCGACCCTCTCCTCACTGTCATCTCCGTCTGGAGCTGCTGCAGCTCCCTCAACCAAAAAACGGGTCTCTCAACCCTCTCCTCATCACTGGCTCAAACGCATATGCCCTGGGTTTGAGACATCTAATAAACTCATACAGCC